AACCTTGTTAGACAAGATATATTGCGCTAAACTTACTGACACTCAGTTTACAACATCAACGTGTCACTTTGAAGAGTTTTCAATCATTGTACAAATGCTTTGATTCAGTTCATATAAAAGGAATGAAATACATCACTGCATCAAAGTACAAGACAAAACAATAGATCAGACCCTTTTCCTGTCTCCTCTCTTCATATCTATGCGCCATCCACCTTCCGCGGCATGGCAACAGACATCTTTACCCACTTTCGGCATGTTGACCACTGTCAGAGGGCAACAAAATTTTTAGTTTTTTTTCTTATTCCAAAATCAAGCGAAAATCAATGCGCGCGCTGATGTCATCCATAAAATTACTTGCTGTGGCCTAATGGCCTCCCTGGTGACAAAGCAATAACAACACAGAAAAAGGAATCCTTCAACTAAGTGTGTTCTTCTGACTAAAAATACCGAGACAGAGAATGGGGAAGTCCAAGCATAGCAGGTGGTGACAGAAAGTTTTTGTGGTTTATTTTTTTCGAGAGGACTTTTTTTTTAGTGAATGCATGTTTTGTTTTGCCATGGAGGTCAAATACATTGACACAAACAAAGAGAAATGACTGTATTGTACGTTAACAGTAGCATGTTCAGCTGTGATATACCACAAAGTTATGCCTGTATCTGTAGATATATTCTATGGATGCACTGCATGCCAAGACCGCTGAGGGTCGCTGCAACATGGCTTTGTGTCCCATGTTCCAATAAGACCAAGGACTTGACATGGTACCACTGTACTGAACGTAAAAATTATGTTAAACACATTGAAGTTATTGGAATTTTATTTGCCATTAATAATATTGCGCTATGCTAGCTAGCCCAAAGTAGATGACCATTGTGTACATTCTCTGATTGTCTTTCTTTCTTATCTATTTGAAGCTCCTTACTCCAACCAAGGACATTATACACATAATGTCCTTGCTCCAACAGAATACCGCAAAAATACAGCAAGCGTAAAATACTAGTAGGCGGAACCCTACATCTGCTTTGGGATAAGATAGTCCGTGCTACTGCAGCTCTAGACCTTATCGCCAGAGGGCGCAAATGATTGTGCATTGTGTGTCTGTGTGTCGCAGAAGAAAGTAGCGTGCGACTTCGGGGCACATTTCCTTGTTAATTTCTCGGTTTCCAAGAATATCTGGCCTCTTACAAGGTGACGTTTATCGTCAGAAAGGTAGGTAGAGTACCATAACTCGATTCATGGACGTTTAAGTGCGTTAAGTTGTGAAAATACGCGCAAGTTTGCATGTGTTGCCTTTTGCCATGTGTTAAAAGGGGGAGGGGGGCACTCATAATTTTCTCTTAAATTTCTCACGTAAACATTGAAATTTATCAACCATTTGCCCCCACCATACTCTCTTACTTAGTATACTATACGGTTTTCTGTGGCCATATCCACTCGTTAACTTACTTGAAGGCAAATTACTGTGTGTACGATGTTTTTTAAAAGATTTTGCAAAAAAAATTATGATTGCTATGTTAACTTTAATGCCGCCACTATGTTTTTCAAATTCTTATCCTTGTGCTCAGTGCAGTGTTTTCACCATGGACCAGGCCAAGGACTCCGCACCAACAAAACAAACCATGATCTACATATGTGGAGGTATGTTTTAGTGTGCAAATACAGTGTGTATGTGGTTATCTTATTCTCAATTTCTCAATAACCTAAGGGGCAGCCATAATAATCAAATTGCCCCCCCCCCCAAAGGAAAACACCCTGCACCCCGTCCCACTGCCACCCGTATGTAACAGTGGGGTGTTTATAGGTGCTACCAACTGACCCAGTCAACGGGTCTAGACCTTTTCGGCCGAGCGATTAGAGTGTCTGACTGGGGCCCGGGAGGTTGTGAGTTCGAACCCCGCCCGGGACCAGTGGGGTTTTTACTGGCTCCTCCTGTTTCTTACAGTGGTTCCCTCACCGGCCCTGGGAGTTCTGGCAAAGAGTGCCGCTCCAGGGATGTCGAATTCGGAAGATTCGAGGACGAATCTTGAAAAGAGAAGGGGGAGTAGTGTAACAGTGGGGGGTTTATAGGCGCTACCAACAGGTCCAGCAAACGGGTCTAGACCTTTTCGGCCGAGCAGTTAGATCGTCTGGTTATGAAGCTCTGGTGCCCGGGAGGTCGTGGGTTCGAACCCCGGCACGGGACCAGTGGGTTTTTACTGGCTCCTCCTGTTTCTTACACGTAGACTAAGATTTACCACTGGAGATTACTTCAGGACGCTTTGAGTGACATTTAGGCCACACCAATTTAATTTGTTGGTTCTCGGATTCGCCTCTTCATTTTTTTCTGATTTGCCAAAAAAAAAAAGATTCTGGTTCTGAATCAACTCAAAAATGGTCATATTTTGCCCCCAACAGTTGAGGAAAGTCCTCTTCTTCCTAGATGTTACAGTTTTTCCATCTATCAATGCAGTGGTTTGATTAAAACTTCAAAATTCATTGTTTAAATTTTACCCTAGTCTTTTGTGTTGACTTCATGGCTCCTATCGAAGCATTTGGGGCTATAATAGGATGCCTAGACCTATATTTTTTCTGAAAAAATCCGAGAACCAACAAATTAAATTGGTGTGGCCTAATCTTCATATTTCATTCAGTTGTTGTAGAGTTTTTTCACTAACATTGCTGTGCAAACTTGTTTGTTTCTTTCCTGTTTGCAGAATGTCACTATGAAAATGAGATCAAGGCACGAGACCCTATCCGCTGTCGGGAGTGTGGCTACAGGATCATGTACAAGAAAAGAACCAAGAGAAGTATCCTTTTCTGAGAGCAAAATGATCTCGACTCAAAATACATTTTTATTTCCAAGTGTGCAGTTGAATGACTGACTGGTTAGGTTATAATCAGTGCACAGGATTCCTTGCATTCCTGACTAGATGTTGTGTCCGTGGGAAAATCACTTAACATGATACAAAATAGCCAGTTCTGTGAATAGCTTCAAGAGGTGATATATGGGTAATAAGACTCTTGATTAGTCTTGGAAGATTCCTTAACAGTTCCTTACAGTCGTGGTGTTTGATGCAAGATGATCCACCCTGGCAGCAGTTCTTAAGAAGAAGAAAGAAGACTCCAACAGTCATCTCAAGTCAACTGCTATATATTTTCTGTATCTTTATCTGTACAGCCAGCATAACCGCATTTGGGCATAACACACCAGCTAGCTGTCAATGAGTCTAGCTATTTTGAACATTATAGTATACATTGTACTATTAGTCTTTGACTAGTAGTATTAGTTTATAAGTATTGAAAGTAATGGAAATTTTCTACAATTAATATCTCCTCAGTTAAGCAGCCCTTTAAGTAAGTATGATAGCATGAAACAAATGTCATACAAACTATGAAACTGCAACAACTTACAAAGATCCTGTAACTTTCTTTTTAAAACATTTCATTGATGAACTATGTAGCATATAACTTCCAGTCTGTTACATGTGAAACCCAACTTTTTATTGTCAAATCAGTAAGCTTGACTTATAGTAAGTTCCTATGTCATCATGCAAGAATTCAGTTTTGTAAATAAAAACTAACATGTAAAATGACTTGTTTGAATGTTTGCTACACATTTCTACATGTTATATGTGTCAAATAGCAGCGTGCAAAATACCTGGTTGCCCAGTTGCCCCGGGCAACCAAATTTTACTTGGGGCAACCTATTTTTGAACCTAGGTAGCCCAGTGTGCTACCTGAATTTTAAGAATGCCCCCCCCCCCCACACACACGCACACAAATCATGCCCACTTGGCTTGCACCACTGTATCTGGCGGATGCTTTTTAATTTTAGGTTTTAATGGCTATTACTAGTATCAGTTCACTAAAGGCTGCTAGAAATATTGTCAAAGGCTTATGTATGTAACATTACTTAATTTGAGGAAAGTAGTAACTGATAGGTGGGGCAACCTAATTTTTGCCGTAGGTGGCCCACTATCAACTTGGTTCAAAAAAGTATTTTGTACACTGCAACTAGAAAGATAGCCCATGTAGTCATTATGCAGAAGTGATCACAAGTACAGGTTTGATTTACTATTTGAGCTGCCATTTAGATATACAGTCTTACATTTGGGTATGGATTTGGAAGAGAAGTTAAGAAAAAAAAACATGAAAAATGAAGAATATTCTGGATGAAATCTGTCTGATATTGACATTTACTGCAATTTCTTATCGCATTTTTATCATCATTCCATACTTGAAGCATTTGAAATATCCCGAAAACAAGCAGGGCTCAAAATTCATTTTTAGGAATAGGTGCACCCAACCTAAAAAATTAGGTGCACAAAAAAATTTTGGTTGCACCATATGAAACAAAACCTAATTATAGATCTTACTCCTTCTCTTCTAAGCTTGAATCTGAAAGGGAGCTGACTTCAAAATCTTACACAAGATTTTATAATGACCCTTTGATGCCAGGAATATCCTGTATACTATTATACATTTATATGTACAAAAATACCTACAGAAAAAAATTGGGTGCACAGCTCTAAATTTGGGTGCACGGAGGTGCACATGCACCCAGTATTTCGAGCCCTGACAAGGTATGTGAGAGGTCCCTTTATTTATTAATTTTTTTGATCACCCATAATAGAATCAATATTAATCCTAATCCAATAGCATACTGATATCTGTGTGCAAATGCAATGTTGCAGATGGAAGACCTTTGCTTGTATTGGATTGTAGACTGGTACTCATACAAAACAAGCAAAGTTTTTCCGTCTGCAACATTGCATTTGCTCACAGATATCAGTATGCTATTGGATTGCTGTTGATTCAACTAACTACATTAAAGGAGGGGTGATAATAATTTATAATTAGTTCAAAATCCAGTTTTGTTGCAATGAAATTGCATAAGGGAATTTGGATGCATAGCCTACAAAAAAAGCAACCGTCGACAATGTACTAGTAGTTCCCCCTCCATCCGTAAAGTGGTAGAACCCAATATGGCGCATCACCATGGCAACACACCATATTTGGAAGAGGGTGACCTGTCCCAAGCAGGTGTAACAAGTGAGGGTGTCTCAGGGATAGCTGTACACAGAACATTGTAAGTAACGTTTCTATATTTGTGCATATTGTCATATTACTAGTAATATTAATATATCAGACTAAGGGTCCATAGTCCTTTTATTATCATTCTTATTTGACAAGGAATGTTTTTTTATTTAAAAGTCGATTTAAGAGAGGGCGGAGCCGGAAGTTGGAAATCACTTGTTACTACGTATTTTTCACATCTCTCGGTCGCTCTCTCTCTATATATACACACAAGAAAATGAGAAAATACTAGTATATATTTATAGATCACTCTGCCAGTGAAACAATATATTAGACTACTAGTATTCCCTTAGATAGTTAGCACATGTGTATGTAACGTCTGCTCTGTGAAAAACGCAGACATTTTAGTAGGTGTTGTCTTTTGTGTTTACCTTCATTGACCTGTGACCTATAACACTATTATGGGATTGTATCAGGCCAACACAATTTGGTCTTGTTTACGGGCACATTTAGTTTGTAGGGTTAGGGACAAAATAATCGCTGAAATGTGCTTATTCAGGGTAAAAATCAGCGGAGAAGGTATTTTTTTTCCAAATGGGTTATAGGAAATCAAGTTACAAAAGACCCGGTTGACGTCACTGCGACAACTAACAACGTATCGTGAGTCATACAGGATTCGTCACCGTTCTAAATTTAACGAAGCGATGAAGTCATCGTACCAAATTTAGATTCTTCGTGTGCTATATGTAAATAAAGAAACAGTCAGAATTGGTAACCTAGGTGTCGGGGACGTCATTGACCTAGTATTTAGGCCATGTTGATTTGATTATATGGATGACATCCAATGGGAAGCCCAAAACTGACGCGAGCGTGCAAATAAAAAAAAGTTGTGAAAAAAGGTACTTTCATTATGAAATCTACGTGGTTATGGAGGTTTAACAAATGGCACAGAATATGGTTTGTCGAATAATCTAGTCTTCTGTCTATTACCTCCATGAAATGTGTCATGGAGGTTATATTTTCAGTTGCGTTTATCTGTCCGTCCGTCTGTCCGTCTGTTGGTCAACAAGATAACTCAAGAACGCCTGGATGGATTGGTTTCATACTTGGTGTGCTGGTAGGGTGTGACGAAAACTGGAAACGATTAGATTTTGGGCCCCCTAGTGGCTTCCCTTGGTACTGCAGCGCAACTTCCGGTTTTGATATCTCGCGATCTGGACATGCTAGGGTCATGAAATTTGGATGGAAGGTAGCTCTTGTCCTCGGGAAGAAGTCACGTGAGTTTGGTCCCCCTAGCGGCTTGTTCTGGAACTGCAGGATGGTTTCTTTAAAAATATTCGAGAGAGGATAACAGAACAACCGTTTGATGGATCATCATGATTTTTGGTATGTAGGTAGCTTAAGTGATGCTTGACATAATCAAAATATAATTATGCAAATCAGGATCTAATTTTCATAATTAATGAGGAAATTATATAAATCAGTTGTATTTCATATTAGGGCTATAAAACTCTATAGACATATGTTAGTGAGAACGACAAGATCATTGGCAGATATCGATTATGTAAAGGAAGACCTAATTTGCATAATAAATGGCAAATTGGTACAATTTTATGGTGGTAACTGCTGGGAATTTAATACTTGCCATAATTGGAAGTTCAGTGAAGGTGAACACCACTAAACATAATTTATGTCAATCAGGGCCTCATTTGCATAATTTATGAGGAAACGCTAGAATAGCCTTATTTCTTAAGATAACCCTGTCATTTGGTGGAGAGTATGACCAATTGATACAATATATGCAAATGGCCTCATATGATTTGAATATATGCGGTGAAAAATGTAAGCCAATTACAGGTGGTCATCACCATGCGTAAGATTTATGAAAACAATACACATGTCAATGATGTCATGGAGGTATGAGATCATCGAACTCTAGTTATACTTATGTTTTCTTTCAATTCAATTCAACACACACTCACACACACACACAGGCACACACACACAGACAGACAGACAGACACACACACACAGACACACACACACACACACACTGACTCACACACACAGGCACACACACACACACACATTCACACACACGCGCACACACAAACACACACACAAATACACACAAACACACACAAACAATAAACATGGTTCCACCGTCAAATAAAAGGTTAGTTGAAACTATGTTGGGAGCGGCTTCACATTTTTGCCATCGGGCATCACGAAGTCGGACCTACCGGAAAGACCACATCAGGCACTGCCGACTCGCGACAGACCGTCGACGGATTTTGTCTGCTTTACACAGATTTTATAGCCCGCCGTATTAGGCCCTTTAAGTTCGTCAAGTGACCAGGTTTGTGAACGTTGATCTTCAACACCAGGTAACGCTACCCTGCTGGGGACCGGACTCATCAGGTGGCGGGCGGAGAGTTAACGCGCTCGGGCTTTAGATAGCTCGTCCCCGGCACACGCCCTCCCCGCTATCCGCTGGGCCCCAGGTGCGCGGCGCTCTGATACTGGATACGCAAGCCTCCTAGGTCCCGCCGCCTCAACGATCTGGGGAAGCGACCTATCTTTACCCGTCAAGTTTCCCACCTCTGCTATGGAGGGATGAAAATA